TTTCCTAAAGCCCTTGCGTTACATAAGAATTCTAATTTTTTTTACTTAAGGAGGGAAGTCCTCTGACTATGTTAAGTCTAGATAATTTTCCTAAGACACCCGTGCTTACATGGCCCAGTCTTCTGTGGTAGGGTTGATGTGTGTCATTAATACTAGACAAATCCTAATGTTTGCTATATGGTAGAATTGAATCACTAAAGTGTGAACAGCTTGCTATATCAACTCTTATTTTGGTTCAATTCGGTTCTAACAATATCTTATATTAACTTATATTATGGTCGTTGTGGAGCAAGTTTTTGCCACATAGGACAACGGAAGCTTCACAATTTTCCATGTCATTTTAACATTTTAAGTTATTACATTAAACTAAAACTAAATAAACATGCATATCAATCATCACCACCAAGATTTGAACATACGACCTATGAGGTCAAACTATCATCATTTCAAATGTTCAACCATCAGGATAAAGTATATTTGATGCTACTAACCACAACAAAACATGTATATCAATCACAATAACTAAGATTTAATCATGCAACCTAGAAGCTCAAACTGTAATCATTTCTTTTTTTTTAACCAATAGAATAAAATATCTTTCATGCAATTAATCACAACTATTTTTTAACCAATAGAATAGCTATCACGGTTACAATTGTGTATTCTATTTTATAGCATTGATATCATTAACATCTACAAATAAATATTTTTAGTTTATAATATGTTTCATAATTTTTTATAATTTCTTAAAAATAAGTACAAAATCCGAAAAAACATAAATTTAGTTGGTATACAATTATAAACTTTTACATAATTTGACATGGGATTTTCTTTTAAAATTGAAAATTGAAAAGTAAAGAATAATCTTCTTCTGCATTCCAGAACATGAAAAAATTTAACATTTTGTTTGTACGAACTACTATAAATATATGAATCAATGTAGTTATGTTGCAATTTGTTAGAAAATACTTACTACAAATATATGAAATATATCAACATAGTTCAGTCATATGCTACAGTGATATATACACAAAATTTCATATGTTTAAGAATATCACTAGACACCAATGGTCACCAAATTCTTTTGTATATTTTTCAAAACCGAATTATGGTTATATGGTTTAAATATGTTTGTGACCAATTGGTGAAAGAAGTTACAAAAATGTCATGTACATATACATAATGCATTTGTCATTTTTAGGATTGAATTTGGCATTTCTCGCATATTAAAATGATATCATTATCTTTTCTTTTATGTTATTCCAACTTATTTCTCTTTTCATTTTCCGTACGTCATTAAATATTCTTCCATGCACAATTATAAAACACATCGTCTTTACTTTTTTCTAATGTAATTATAATTCCTTTTTTTTCTCTTTTTATTGTTTGACATAAGTTCATTTCTTTTCCCTGCATGAGTGTAGATGTGCAACTTTGAGTCATATTTAGATGAATAACACCTAAGTCAAGCAAGATTTATAAACGAATCTTAAGCTATTGGATATATGATGGTTGATATGTAAATAACTATTTTAATCCTTACTTAATGTGACACCCTAATACATATATTACTATTACTATTTTTAGTAACCAGTTATACTCGCCGGATAACCTTACTCATAAGATAATGATCTATATCTTCTCAGTTACCTTTAAGAGTATAGTTCAAAATGACTTATTGTCCCTCCCATTGACCATGGCAAAATATAGAGTATTCAGTTTCCCGTCATCCACCTCTCAGGCCTTACTGGCTTAACTTAACTGTCAAGATATATCTGATATGCTATATCTTATTCAGTCAAATAAACATCAATTCATCACCACATGCCATATCACATTCATCATCTCAAACTCAAAGAATTCATACATCACAACATAAGGACCATCACCCAGTCTCTTGATAAATCACTGTTTCAACATGTATGCATCAAATATCACATCATACTGGCATTACCATGTAACCCCTGTCTCAACATAGCAAAACATCATATCATCCAATCTTAAATCATAGTATAAAACACCATAGAAAACCATCATCATCGACATGCACATTTCCTATATCACATCATAGAAAGTCATCACTTAACCACATCATAAGTAATATTTATACAATGATTCAATCAGATGCATGGTTAGGTTCATTGCATTTTACATCTTAATTTGCCAAGTCATACACTCCTCGGGTAATATAGTAGATGACATGCATACCACCACATATCGTACCTAGACTGGTGTCCTATAAATCCATTGCAAATCATACCCTAACCGATGTCATGTATACCAGGGTGAGACGTACCCGGAACAGTGTCCTGTAAAACCAACGCAAGATCATATCATGACGATGTCCTGTAAATTCAGTTACTATACTGACTGCACAACAAAGCGCATTTATGTTTGTATTAAGTTATCACACAATTCCAGTTACAGGCAGTCACATATTAAATATTGGAGGATAATGTGAAGTGAAGACAAAGTGTCTCCATAACTAACATTTGCTTTGATATCATTCGTACAATGTTGAAGGTAAGAAGCATAGCAGAATAGTTTGGTTGTAGTTTGATATAATGGTGGAAAAGGCTAGCGTACACTCGAGGTGTAATATGCACCTTCATTCATACCTATTAGTTGTATGTTAATATATTTTGAAAAATAAGAATCGGTTGTTATTATTTTTCATTAAATGAATCGTACGATTTGGATTAGAGAATAAAAGACTGTGTTTCACCTATTAGAGAATATGGTATAACATCATGTGCCAAACTCCGTTAATTCATGCTCTAAATACCAACTCTATAGGAGTACGGTAAGGTGGTGTACACGCGCTTAAACCATGTACAGCTTATGAAGTTGACAATTTTCAGCCAGTCAAAGTTTCGATGGTCATGAATAATATTTTCCAAGCGGTGATGAAGTTACAGCATTGTTTGACTTTATTGTAGATCATGATTAAAATCTAGAGTAAATGTAGCGCCCCTCATATAAGGTAAGTAAGTGATAATAGGTAACAATCATAAATAAATATGAAAGGTAGGAATCTGATACCATTGAAAAAAATGACAAATAATAGAAGGAAAAGTACAAACAAATGAACTCGCCGCCCATCGGACGGGCATAAAATTAGTCTATACAATAAATAAAAGCCAAATGAGAACTTGAAGCTCCATTTCAAATTTCCTGCATCCAGAGTGAAAGTAGGAAGGACATTTTGGTCTTCACAATTACTTTTTTTTATTCATTAAAAAGACACTTACTAGGATTCGAACCATGACCACTTTAAAGAAAAGCAAAGATCATAACCAATCACACTAAGTACATTTGTTGTATCTTCTTAAATTTAAAACATATAATCGCAGAGAGGAAAAAACTCTTTCCCCATTTCAAATTCCCTGCTCCAGGAGCGTTTGTCTCCAGGAGCGTTTGTAGGAAGGGTAGAATAGAGAGTGTCAATTTTTTTTCTTTTTCCTCTGTGGAACGGGCCAACTTACCATACACATGCGGATTTAAACGGGTCCAGGAGTGTCAATTTTTTTCTTTAAGTCCTTTTATTTCTCCGTGGTGGTAAAATATATATGAAAAGGCAAAAACAATACTCCTTTTTATTTCTAAAAAGAAAAAAATTAACAATAAAATAATGCATGGATTCTAATGGGCTAACCGCTAATCATAAAATAAAAGAGTTGAATGGGCCTGACCTACACGGGATTTGCCCATCAAGTCAAACAAATGAACATCATGGGTTTTCAATTCTAAAACAAGCTATTTTCTCTAGCATAATATATATTATGCTATTATTTTATATCTTAGTGGCTAAAATATAATGTATTTTGAAGTTATTCAATGGTTCAACCTCGAACAACCCAATTAGATAGTCCAATTTTTATCATTTCAAATATATATTATGTAATTATTTGATATCATAATGATTAAATTATAGTGTATATTATAGGGAATCGTTTGGTATTTGTTAGTAAAAAACTAAACAGAAAGATCTATTTGGTTGTTTTTAACACTAAAACGATCCTAAACATATTCAGTTTCCTTTCGAAATTCTATAGTTTTATTCCCGAATCAATGATGTGCAAATAGGAAATTGCAGTCATCTCTTTTCTTTCATTATTTTTTATTTTCAAATAGAAAGTTTAAAGGTAAAGAATAATTAGAGTTTGGCATGGGTCGGTCAAACATGCTGAATTTCAAGTTTTGGCCCGTTTTGATCAAGTCTAATTTATAATCACATGGTTCCCTGATACCCGATAAATATCTCTATCCAAACCAATTTGGCAGGTGAGTCCGTGTTTACCACCATTTTCTAGGGATACAGGAACGGTGGTTCCTATCCCAAATCGTGTTGTTCATTCTTGATTTCTTTCGATTTTATCATGGCTTGGCAAAAAACCAGAAAGTACAATGATGACAAGATGAAAGTTTTATAAAGCAAATTAATCGGCCAACGGGCCGAGTAAAAGCTAGCAACGATTGTGAGATGCTCATTTCCCGAAAACCGGCGGGATAGGCGATTTTTTATTCAATTTTCTGGAATTCGGTTTCTATAAAACTTACTCCACCTCATCATATTACCAGAAACAATATTGTTTCACAAGGTAATAGGTACTTGATTTTGGTTCATAAGGCTGATTTTTGATTCGTTGTATCATTCATGTCTCTTTCTTATGAAAATTAACTATTTTTATCACGTGTTTCTAAAAAAAAAACTATACAACAATAAGCTATATACCCTCTTACATTATCAAATTTCATACCTCACTTTCCTCCGGCCAAATGGCCGGGTCCCACTAGTTGGTATTTATAAGAACCTAGCTCATTATAACCACGACTTGGACAAATCCCAACATATCGGGCTCATATTAAACCACGTCAAGTCGAAACCATCCACTACAATTGGACCGACATGGTCCCATGGTCTAGCGGTTAGGACATTGGACTCTGAATCCAGTAACCCGAGTTCAATTCTCGGTGGGACCTATCCAAATTTTTTCAACTTATCTTTTCATCTTACCGTCTTCCGTACCAAAACAAGGAGAATTTCTTGGCCTCTTCCTTCTTCTCGACATTTCCATCCATGGTTATTCATGGCTCTTCTTGCTCCCACCAGTGTAGCCATTCCCAAGCTCCTCCTTCCTCTTCCTTCTAGTCACACCAAACAGCTAGGCTCCCCCGTTTCTTCCTCCGCGGTCTTTCTAGACCATCTCTCCGGCCGCCGCCCGTCACCGAATTCGATTCGCTGGAGAAGAAGAAACAGGAGTCGAATCGTCGTCGTTTCTTTCACTGAAGAGAAGGAACAAGTGGTTCCCGTGAACGATACTGATTCTCAACATCTCGGCCCTCTTTCTTCCGCTATAGTCGATGAAGGCGGCGGTGACGAGAGAGGGAGAATTGTAAGCAGAGGGATTAATGCAGCCATCGTTTTGGGTTTCGGGACTCTTGCTGTCTCCAGGTTGCTCACCATAGATCATGATTACTGGCATGTAAGTGATTTCGGTAGAAGAAGAAAGAACTCTGTTTGAGAGAATTTGGATTTTGCTTGAACTTTTGGTTTTCAAAATTGACGAAACGCTTTTTTTCTTTTTTCTTTTTGGTTCTTCTTCAGGGATGGACTCTGTATGAGATACTAAGGTATGCACCCGAGCACAACTGGGAAGCATATGAAGAAGCTCTGAAATCAAACCCTGTGTTGGCCAAAATGGCAATTAGTGGAATCGTCTACTCCATTGGAGATTGGATTGCGCAGGTAAAAGCTTTTGTTATGATACCCCTTTCTTTCTTGATGTGTGTTTTTGTTCCTTTGCTCTGAAACCCTAATTGCTTTATTCATGCAGTGCTACGAGGGAAAACCGCTGTTTGAGTTTGATCGAACACGCATGTTCAGATCGGGCCTCGTTGGCTTTACACTTCATGGTTCCCTTTCTCATTACTACTATCAGTTCTGTGAGGTGATGAGCTATGTCACTGCAATTTATCTCAACCTGCTCTATTTTTCTGAGTTTGTGTTGGGGTGTGATAAAAAGGTCTTACCATGTTTTTCCGCTTGTTCCAGACTCTTTTCCCTTTCCAGGGTTGGTGGGTTGTCCCGGCCAAAGTTGCATTTGATCAAACAGTTTGGGCTGCAATTTGGAACAGCATCTATTTTGTGGCGCTGGGTTTCTTGCGATTTGAATCCCCTGCCAATATCTTTAGGGAGCTCAAGGCAACTTTTTTGCCAATGCTAACTGTAAGAGTCTGTTCATCTTAACTAAAGAAGCATATACATTTGTACATGTAGACCCTAGCTTACTCTTTCGGGAAGTTCCGGCTGTCCTTGGTTCTCTTACACAGCAGTGCATGATTTTACTCTACAGGCAGGATGGAAGCTATGGCCATTTGCCCATTTGATTACTTATGGCGTTGTCCCAGTCGAACAAAGGCTTCTTTGGGTGGACTCTGTGGAGCTCATTTGGGTTACTATACTCTCAACGTAAGTATCAAATGTTCAGCAACTTGAACTGTCTCTATACTCCAGCTTTATTCTTCCATTGAGGAACATTTCCTTTGTTGATGGTTTCTGCGTGAGCTTGAATGATCACCTGCAACACTAATTTTGGAATTTCAATTCTTTCAGCTATTCAAACGAAAAGTCAGAAGCCCGAATATCTGATGATGCAGCTTCGGAGACGGAGTCCATTTCTTCCGGCAACTCTTCTTCCAAGGTTGGATTGCTAAACGGTCATTCACATTCTTTGTACTGCTTCAACTTGTGTGAAAATATACATCTACAAGAACATCAGAAAACATAATTCCAGCTGAATACGAGCTCTCAGACAAATCCTGATCTCTACGTCTGCGGGGCAATTGATTTTGAATCCACTCTAAACGAAGACCCTTTAGTTGATTGAATTTGCACTTAATCTTCCGGTTCTTTACGATGACAGAAAACAGCGAGAATTGAGAAACATAGCGTATGAATTATATGTGCTGAGCAGAATTCAGTTGCCTCATTGGTAAATACTAGTCAGCTTTTGATATCCTTCGACTTCACTGTCATGTATTTGCAGGAATCAAATCAATCGTGAAGTAGGGCGTTCGAATGAGATGTCTTCACTCTTGGTAGCAATGGTTAGGATATTTCATCAATCATCTTGCTGTTCCATGGAGGCAGCCACCTTCAAAAGGGAATGCAGCTGCTGAAAGGGCAGGTCTCATCTTATAGAGGAACTTTGTATATTGAATGGTAAATATACTGTGTATATGATTGTGTAACACGATATCCATTACATCAAAACAAGGTTTAGTGAAAATATTCAGATTTGCTCTATTTTCAACCAAGAAAGGTCACAGTGCCATTGATTATTTGATTTTGTCCGGACTCTGCCTGAAAGAGAGTTAACCATGCCCATGATTTTATCAACCTCCAACAAATTCAACCGAGAAATAAGTGAAGAAAAGCTACGATTAAATCGTTAGGTATGGACTCAATCTGTAGCATTTACCCAACTTTATAGACACCGAGTCATATATAGACACAAAACCGGTATCTAGTCTAGTTGCTAGATTGACAGTTCGACACCTTATACTGCTCCAACCCGAAGTGTAATACAGCAGAAGAAAGGAGGCAACATCTTTGATCTCCAGAAACTTTCTGGCATTGCCAGACAGAATTCAGAAGGTAACAAGATAGGACTCCCTGCTACTGCTCGTCTTCCAACTGTGACCTTCCTGCGGAGACCTGGCTCGGGCTTCTGCTCCTGCCCATCATCTTCTATTGCCAGAGTGGTGTGTAGGTTTGCGGAGAAGATTCTTGATTCATTTTACGATCCAGAACTAACAGACCACTGCACAGTCATCCATCTCGGAAATTGGATATTTGAGCTTTCCAATTGGAAGCAGAGGACCATGCTGACACAATCTGCAGATCTTCATTGATCAACACATCCCAAACCTGCTATGATAATGTTGACTTTAGTACCTCTGCATAAACAAACAACACCATAAGTACCATGCATGCATTTCACAGTCTGCAGATGATTTGGCTTGACGAATGTTTCCATGTATCAGATCAACTGTAAATAGATAAAATATGGGTTAATACCTTAGTTTGGCCCGAACTATAGACAAACTTTCTACTTTGGCCCGTGGTATCGGAAATTGCTATTCTGGCCTAAACTATGTAGCATACTTTCTTATTTGGCCCGGAGGCGGGTTTGACCGTCAAATTAGACGGTCAACTCGGTTGACCGTTAGTCAAAGTCCACCTCACTTGCCACGTCAGCTATCAAGGAATAAAAAATTATTATTTTTTGAATTTTTTAGTTTTGTTTACTTTCTAAAATTAAATAAAAATAATTTGGGGAGCTTTTTTAAGTAAATTTTTTTCGTTTATTATTTTTATTATTACAAAGTAAAAAAAAATTCAAAATTCAAAATTAATTTTTTATTCCTTGATAGCTGACGTGGCAAGTGATGTGAACTTTGACTAACGGTCAATCGAGTTGACCGTCTAATTTGACGGTCAAACCCGCCTCCGGGCCAAATAAGAAAGTATGCTACATAGTTTAGGCCAGAATAGCAATTTCCGATACCACGGGCCAAAGTAGAAAGTTTGTCTATAGTTCGGGCCAAACTAAGGTATTAACCCATAAAATATTGCAGAGCTCAGAAAAGAGAGGGGATCATACAGAACTCAAAGGTTGAGATGAAACTTACCTCCCGTAAATCATTGCATCCTGACTTACATCCTTGCGTCCTTGCTATGTGAAGATGCAAGAACTTCTGCTGTTTCCATTGGCAAAGATCCAGTTGGGTATGGAAGCCAAATGCTGCAGTGTCATCAAATGATCAGAGGTCGTCCTTTCCTTCTCTTTTTGCCCACCAAACTAAATCCCAAGATAACGTGATGGCCTGTTTCTCCTTGCATCTAGCCCTAGTTGAAACACTCAGAACGGGCAGGCATCCCAAGTTCTGAAACAGCAGATTATGGCTCATCCGGAGCCAATGCAGTGTCAACAAAAAAATCTATTTCCATGATGAATAGAGCATTAGGCAAACATTTCTGTGTTGCCTGTGATCTCTCGACCATTAAATGAAAGCAGCAGAAATTTGAAGGTAGATACGGATAAACTAGATATCAAGGAGAATTCGGAACTTCACTCTCCTTTTAACACTACCCATTCTATCATATCCAATACCAATCTTGCTATGCATCAATTTCAAGGCTAGATCTACATTCCCAGCTTTCCTTAATGAGTTCAGTAGAGCAGTGCGAACTTTTCCAGGAACTTCCCGGCCCCTGTCTATAATCCCATCAGCCAACTTACATGCCTCCTTCAACCTTCCTGCTTTACATAACACATTCAGCATATCTTCATATGCTGTCTCGGGAATAACACCCATCGGTGCTAACTCATCCAAAATCTTACAAGCTCTGGCTATCTTCCCACACAGACAGAGCCCAATCGATAGGGCTCTAAATGCAGCCGGTGTTGGTGTAATGCCTTTATCAGTCATCATATCCCATAGCTTCAATGCCTCTTCATTTCTGTGTTCTCTGAATAATCCACTCATAAGAATGGTATATGTATAAACAGTTTGATCACAACCTTCAGCTTCCATTCTCTTAAAGAGACCTAATGCTTCATCAATCTTACCACATTTGGCAAGTGCATCAATCAGAGCATTATAACAATATGAATCAGGCAGACAACCTTCTTCCCTCATCTCATTGAATAGTCTCTTTGCTTCATCGACTCTCCCAGCCTTGCCGAGACCATCAATCAAACTGCAGTAAAATATAGCATTTACTGCCACTCCATTTTCTTTACAGAAGTCCAAATAACTAATCGCCTCTTCCAACCTCCCACTCTTACACAGGCAATTGATAATGACACCATAAGTAACCTCATCTGGTTCAAGCCCTTCCCTTTTCATCCTCTCAAAGAGCAGCATTGCCTCTCCTGTGTTACCAATTTTTGCATTGGAGTCAATCAAAGCCGTGTATATTGCAACGTTAGGCTTGCATCCCTTTTGAATCATATTCTCGAAAACAGTATACCCTTCGATACATCTCCCTTCTTTACAAAGCCCTCCGATCACTAAGCTATATGCATGAGGCGGGATCTCCAGCCCCCTTTCGCACATTTCATGATACAAAGACAAACACGTATCAACATCACTCTCCCCATAACATGCTTGAATCAGTGTCATGTAAGTGATCTTGTCTGCTGGCAAGTTTGTCGATTCCATGTCTCTCAATCTTTCAAAGGCCTTCCGGGTTTTGCCCACTTGGCAATACCCTTTAATCAATGTATTATAAGTAACAACATCTGGTTGAATCTTTCCATTACTCATGGCCTCAAAAACATGCTCCGCAGACTCTATATACGATGCTTTAACTAAACCACTCACCAGAAAATTGTAAGTAAATAGACTCGGTTCAATGCCATTTTCCTTCATCCCACGCCACACCCACAATAACTCCTCCACCATTCCTAAACTCCCAAAGCTCTTAATCAAAGAATTTGCGGGTGAAACAGTCATCAAGAAACCCTTTTGCCTCAACTCCAGAAACACACGTTTCACTCCATCCAAATCGACATTTCCAGCCAAAACACCAATAAGAGAAACGTAGCATTCAAGGCTGTGAGCATACCTAGTTTGCTTAACAGCCCAAGCGAAGAACCTCACAGCAATTTCAGGCTTTTTCTCTAACTCCACAGACTTCAAAACAAAACACACGAAATTTGGAGACAGCTTGATCAAGAACTTGGTACAGAAAGAGTCGAGATTGGACTCCATACCCGAAGAACTGTCCAAAAGCCCGAGTATCTGGTTGACCCACGGAGATGGTTTAAGCTGATGAGAAGATCTACATGCTACGTCAGAAAGATCATGGAAGGGCTCTATCCATTCGGGTGGAGGCAGACCGCTGGCCGAAAGAATCCACCTGACTTTCGAGGCGAAAACTTGAGGCGCTTCCAGTTTCCGGGTTTCTTGTGCGAACCCACCATCGGTACGGGACGGAAGAAGTGAAACAATACGACGGGCGGACCACAGCGAGGTTAGAGACCTCAGTCCCGCCGCTTGTAGCATTGGAGATTCTTTAATTCAGTTCTCTAATGGCGGTTCGCAACCTGCAGGGTTTTCTTAGATTTTTCAGGCGGGTCGGTTCGGTTTAGGATTTCGGTTTGTTTTATTGGTCCTCCTCCAGTGCTCCTGTCCTCTTAAATTAAAATAGAACCAAAAATTAGCGCGGAATTCCAATTTCCAACCAACAAACGGGGACAGAAAAGGTTGAGAGAAATCTCAGATCCCCAAAACAACTGCTCCCCCGCTAACCCTCCTCCTCCTCCTTCTTCTCCATCACAGAGATCTCCGACCAACTGGCGAAAAGCTCCGCTCCGGCCACAATGGCGAAGCTCGAACCGCTGGACAACGAGCCCAAGTCGGACTACGACAAAGAGAAGATGGCGAAGAAGAATAGGAATCATGGGTCTACAAAATTCTTCGTCTTCGTCGATTACTTGTTCCTCTGCATTTTTCTGGGCTTCCTTTCCTTCATCGTCTTCAAGATTGTTGGTGCTTGGTGATTCGTTTCTCTCTCTTAACTCGCCCGAAACACCAAAATTTTGGCTCTCAGTTCAATTCGCTGCTGTCACTTTCATTATCGCTAATTTATCAGTTTCGGACTTTCGGTGATTTGCTTTCTGGAGTTATTAGCCATAATTATCCAGACTCTGCCTTTCGGGTCTGGTTTAGAGAGTTGTTATACCGAAGCTGTAGAATGTAACATTCATTATTTTCGAGAAATTCACTGTGGTTGCTGTTGTATTTTTACACTGGTTCACTGTTAATTTTCGATCAACTAAACGAACAGGTTCTCTTACTTTTACCAAGTTCTGAGTGCTATGGCAAATCTCATTGGAGGAAAAGGAATTATCTCCAGTTCTGGTTTTTATCGTTGTCTGCGGATTATGAGATTTCTATCATGATCAACATGGGTGCTAGGAAGGAACCCTTTTTTACAAACTGTACATTGCATATGGTGGTTATCATTTGAATATGGTCTTGTCTTTTGAATAAGGTCTTTCCAATATGCAGAGAGATATGGAAAGTTTGCTACTTTTTCATCCACATAAGTTAGCTTGTGCTTAGGGAACCAAGGTTTTCCATGGCTGCAGAATCTAGATAAAGTTCATATTGGCAAGAAAACAAAAGCTTCATTGTCATACCAGATAGGAAATTCAGGGCACTCATCTGGTCTCGATCAAGAAACCAGGGCAGACTCAAGCACACCAACAATTAAAAAAACATTACAAATAACTGGAACTCAGGGCATCTAGGAACTGGTCCAAGTTCCTCTTATTGCAGCAACAGAAACAGAAGAAAAACTGCAGGAATGGCAGGTCAAGGGCGAGCAGCAGCAGGACCCCTTTGAGGCAATGGGACCTCAAATCCGGGGTTCGGCACAAATGTGTCATCAGCGCCTGGAATGTACTTGCGGGGAGCAGTGTACGGCCTGAAAGAAGGAATGCGGAACCTTGGAGGCAACACTCTTCCGATCCCCCGAACAGTCAAGTTGTCAGATTGGAAGAAGTTGGGCTGCTTCGCGTCTTCCTTGACAGGGCGCCCTGCAAGCACTTGACTGCAGGATACAATGAGCAGGATGAGGAAAGCGAGGAGGGGAGTTTTGGAAGCCATGTTGTTAGCTCAGAAAGAAGCAGGGTCTATTTTGAGCTTCTTGGGGTTTGTGGTTGATGAATTGAGGAGATGGGGATTTTCTGATTCTCCTTTTAAATACTCAGAATAGCCCACCTAGTTTCGTCAGCTTGGTAGCGGCTATTAATATTGATCACTGTGTTGTTGCATATGAAAATACATGTTGATGTTTTGGCGGAGAAGTAGATGTTATGGAGGTATGTACGTGAAGAATACCACCCATTTAACTCTCTTCTGTTAGGTGAAATCTGCTGCGGTGATTTATTAAGGAGTTGCGTTTTGCAGAGTAAGGCATTGCAGGTTTTCTTTGATTTGGCTCCTGGCCGAAAAGGGAAGGTTTAATTGTGGGGAGGTGTAGGATTGGGTTGTTGAACCCACAAATCCACCCGTAACTGAATCGATCATTGTGTTGTGGATGGTTTATATGGGTCTCGATGACAACAACTCGAAATTTTGGGTCATATTTTGCTCATGATCCTTTTACCGTCGATCAAGAAGGTTTTCTGGTGGTTCAGTTTAAGAGGCAAACTCGCCTTCTTGTTCTTGGTTTTGATTCATATAACAATCCTCTCGCTCTAGCTGGTAGCTCTTCTGACTCTTGTGGTCAAGGTGCCAAGACTGGTTGTAAACATATTGCAATTTTCGAAGTGCATGTAACAATACCTTCTGGATCAGGCATTCAGTTGCTCATTTCTTTAAAGAGCTATAATTGCAGTGAATTGAACCAAAATAATGCACTGTTGAGAAGATAATTCTTCCTATTAATATCTGTGAATTACAACAAACACCAAACACAAATATATGAACGATATTACTAGTACAATGTTAACTCATGGGTTCTAATGCAAACTTTAGAATTATGTGGTAGACATGATTGTAATCTTAAAATGATATGAATTGTCGTAGGAAAAAACAATTATAGAAATGACGCCTCATAATACTCAATCGAATGTCAAAAGTGCTAATCATAAATCACCACCAACCAAATCTAACTTAATGAGTCATTACGCTATGATATAATAACTCACCACTGAAAAACATGCATCAATTAAAAGCAATAGCAGAAATGCTAAGCTAGTCTCAATTGATAGCTCAAGTATCAAAGTAGTTTAGCCCTAGAGAACCAACACATACATTTATCGTTATGCATTGCCCAAGATTAGGAGTGTGCAACAATCGAGCTTACACCAAATCGAATCATACCGAATTGATACTTGGATAGAATCAAGTCGATCTATATTTTTCGGTTTGATCTTGGTATGAATTATTTTAGTACGAAGAAGAAAATGACTGAAATTGAATTTGAACACCAAATAGAACCCACTACAGGAAATCAGGTTTGTAGTCACGGGATCTTATTCACGGGACTTTTTCCCGTACTTAGAAGTATGTTAATAGTCATGGGAAAAATTACCGTATTTGATTGTATAGTTCTAATCACGGGAATTAATTTGCCTGTTTTTTAGTCTTCCTTTCCCGTGATTAATTGTTAGTCACGGTAAATTACCGTGAATAATGTTACAATTTACCTTTAAAATTTTACGTGAAACTAACATACCGTTTAGTATAAATGAATCCCATAAGTTTTGGGGAATTCATTTTGAAATTAAAAATTTTCGTGTTCAGTATTTGAAATAATTCATTTTCAATTTAAAATTTTGAATTCGACGAAATTGGAACTAGTTATAGCAATTCCGAGAGGTTAAGATGAAATTTCCAAATGAATTCCACAAGTATTTGCTAATTATAATAAAATGGCATAAGTATCCTCATATATTAACTAAATTACTTCTACATGTATTATTTGGGGCTTGCTGTATGAGGAACATCGACAATAATTTTACTGCAACGCTAGTAGCATATGTTGGTTATTTGATATTTATGCTTCGATTATATCAATACATTGATAAGCCACAAGAACACTTTTGATATTCTACTTATGGGATCAAAAAGTATTTTAGAATATGGATTTAATGAATATTGTTTCTGCCGGAAATTAATAGAGTTTGTAGTTGGAAACTTCTAGTTTAACTTGCTCCAAAAAATTCTCACATCTCTGATAATGTCTTTTAAGAATTCTTGTTTAATTGGACTCTTTTTGAAAACCAAAAGTTCCGCAATTTTGCTCTCCCGCATTTTTTCCCCGCCATCCCAGTTCTAAATTTTGGCTCATGAAATATTTGGCTTCAGACTCCACTAATGGTAAAACTTTTGGCGCTCCCCAAAACTTTTGGGTTAGTTTCAAGTTTTAGCCAAACCCCCACTCTGCCAGTGCCAGCGGTATCCCAATAATAAACCCACAGTCTCTTCGTTCCATAGACAAAAACCTCGAGAAACACTCTCTCGCATTCATCCTTTCTTCCCCCGACGACCCTCGGCCACTCCGCCTGCCTCACCGTCGACCTTGCCTTTTGCTCCCCGAAATGCCCTTACGATGCCCTCTCAGGTACTCACAGGCTTTTCCTTTTCTGCCTTTCTTCCGATGCTCAACCCAATCATTAACCCAGCCACACAAACCCTCACTTCCCGGTTTCAGGTGCGCACCACCTCCGCTTCGCACCATCGGAAACCATTGCAGCGTCGCCTCCCTTTTAAATTCATTCAGAGAGATGTGCTACTGCCAGCCAAATGCGTTCGCATCAGTGCTCCTCCTCCGGCCTCCTTGGCCTCTTGCATTCTCGGCCCTTTCTTCTCGATGGGCTCTCTCGGTTTTCACTCCTCCTCTTTCAAGAGTTTTGGATGGTTTGGTCTCGATTTCATCCATTAATTGCAGATTTGGGGTTGACATTTCAGCTTTGGGTGAATTGTGGGTAACTGATCAAATTGTGGACTATTTTTTTTTCTAAATCAAACCTTTCGCCTTCCAATTGAACTTGGATTTGATCCCCCTCAATGATTTGTAACAACATCTTTCTATACTCAAATTGGGCTTGTATGTTTGATTGATTGCTGAATTCCTAAATTGGAAAATAGGGTTCCGCATCGAGACGATTGAGGGTTCTGAGCAATCGCACGAATTAAAGTTTTCCCCTTGATAGTATATTTAATGTTTCGGGTCTATGTGAGGCTTTTTCCTTTACTGAATGCCAATGCTTTTACATGATGTTCATGAATGTTTCTGTAGTTAGACATGCTTCCTGCATGGGTGTTGGCTGCTCTGATTTTTCTTAGAACCAGTACATCATACGTGTACTTACATTTTGCTGCTGATGTACTGTGGTTTCTGCACAAATTTTACATTTTGTTTCATGGTGGAGAAGCTGTAATTCGAGGTAAAGCTCAGTCGTAATGAGGATGAACGAATACCAAATGGATTCCGGATTTGGTGAAAATGACATAGGAGAAGCTCTGTCTTGTCCTCTGCCTCTCTAAATCTGAGCCTTGTGAATCTTTTTGTTGCCACAGGAGCTGGAAGCTTTGGCAGACTTCATGAGGAAAGAAGTATCTTGTGAGGAAGAAGATTGATTTAGTGAATAAAAAATTCAAGCCACTGGGACAATCAGTCCAGAAGAAGGTATAGATATAATAGATTGGATGTTTTTGTTCGTTAATATATTGGATAATTGCTACCTTATCACAATAAGTTATTGCTTTTGGGTTGGGTTATCTTCCTGTTATGAAGTCATGCTAGATAAAGATTTGATAAAGGCCCTCTGCCTAGTTTGCTTCCACCCCAAGGAGACTTTTATTAATTTCTTCCTAGACTGCAGAGTTGGTGATTGCTTTTGGAACTAGGATGAGTTTCATTACATGTTGTCCCAGATTAGTTGCTAGGAGAATTTAGCTCCCAAGTGGATGAATGAAAGTTAGCTTACAAAGCTGCCACTTGCTCAATTTGTCATGTTGTCACTGAAAATAAATGCAAGGCTTCTTATGGAAGCCAACTTAAGGGGATAATGGCACCACTTTGGCTTTTGTAAATACAAGATTTCAAGGTCATATTGAACCTTGTAGCATGATATATATTGGTGCTCTGCTTGTGCTTCTGAATGGCAGATGGATTGTGTGCTTGATTCAGTGAGTTGTGAGGCTCTTGTTTTTTGGTTCTCATTATTTGTAGAAGCCCTGTAGAAAACTCAACTTCCATGCACTATAGATGTGTTTTTTCCATTAAGCGTACTAAATCTAAGCTATTCGAGGTATTAGAAGTTGGATTGGAGTTCAACTAACTTTTCATTGAGGGCTGATATTTTAATTAGACCCTGATTTCTTCTCTGACGCATCAATAGTATAGTTGAGAGAATTCCATACTTGATTAACCAAATCATCTTTACAATTATAATATTGCTACCTTGTTATGTTTCTTTTTCTTTGTTCCATCCTTTGAGTTCAAGTTTGATATTGCCATTCTCTATTGATGAAGATGATCACATCATACAAGGTTATATAATATTGGTAATTTTTTATATTGTTGTTCATGGCAGATACAACGGTGCAAGATGTCTCAGATGAAGTCCATGGAACATATTTTTTTTGGTACAAGAAGGATGAAATTTTGAAGTTAACTCTAGATAGACAATTGTGATGTTCACTTGAGAACCATAGAAGTAATAATTAGTTAGCTTATTGAGGAGATCTAGGTATTTAGCTATTATTGTGATATAGATTGTAAACATTATAAAATTATTTATAACAAGATATGAGACTTTCGATTGTTGATAATAATATTATTTTGTTGTTATTTAGTGGCAAGAAACTTTTAGACTTGATTTCTATAATTAGTAATTAAAAAAATTCATAATTAATCATAAAATATTTCGTGACTAGTGATCTTAATTAGCTATAGTCAAATACCGTGACTAGTGTTTAGTATTTAGGCACGGGGAACCAATGACTACATGTAGTAAATACCGTGACTAGTGATTGAAGTCTAGTCACGGGAATCAGTTAGTCACGGTACTCACTACTAGTCACGGTACACAATTAGTCACAGAGCTTTATATTACGGTAAATTTCCTGTGACTAAAACTATTATTCACGGGAAACATGCTTTTAAACACAGGATTTACCATGATTAAAGAACATTTTTCTTGTAGTGACCAAAAGAATTGCAATTGAGGAAAAAAATTTATATTGTTGCAGCAAAATGTTTATCCACAATAGTTAAATATATATATATATATATATATATATATGGCAAAGACTAGCGTACGTTCGGGCGTACGGTAGGTACGTTAGTCTACCGTACGCCCGTTGAGTTTTTCTATTTAGACAATGAATTATCCGAAGTTTGGGGCATGATAATATACCTTAACTCCTAATGGGTAAATCTCAGTCTCCAATACACCAATAGAAAGCATAATATTCATTTAATCGTGAAATCAAAATCAACGGTTCTGATTCGTCGAAATTAGTGTTGATTTTCATTTTAATATTAAATGAATCTCATGATTTGAATTAAAAAATTAGAGACTGGGTTTACAAAGATTAGGATATATATATATATTACTTTCGGCTCCCATTTTGTGAATTCTCTAGATTGGCAAAGGGATTAAATCATTTTCCCCGTTGATATAGTGCCTTGCATTGGCGTTGACTTTGAACTCCTTTATCTTGTATGTACATACAATTGGTTTAAGTTTATCCTTAACAAATGCTATTATCAAATGGTTTAAGTTTATCCTTAACAAATGCTATTATCAAATAAAAAGAACCTGAAAATATAACAAACTCATTCTAACTCATCAACATGTTGTGCCCAATTCTCGACTCATTTTTGCCTGTATTTCATGTAATTGTACTAAAATTATTTACCATTTTATTAATATTACCTCATATTTTAACAGTAATAATATTGTAAATAGGCGATAACTCTTATTTCTCAAATAATTTTAAACATTTATCATGTTATGGTTTATTTATCATTTCTTAAAATGAAAAAAAATCAATATTACTAATATTTTACCTTTAAATTACACAAACGTATGAATTAACCTATCTCGACCTGCGCTTTTTAATAAAGTACTCGATCTGAATCTGACCAACAACAATGCGAATATTAGTATCACTGGCGGATCCAGGGGGTGGCCACCCCGGGCCCCGGCCCAGCCCTCCTCTGGATTCGGAGTTAGTATAGTCTTTATGAATTTTTCGATTTAAGTTATTCGGCCCAATGTTCTTTTATAACAAAATTGGGTGTAACTAGAAAAATGATTCAAATTAACATATTCAAATCACTACTATAAATTTAGCCTAAAAATTCTACCTCCAAAGATTATTATTCTAAAAAAACAATGAAATATAAAATTCTAAAAGTCTAAACGTAAAAGACTATAAGAAATATGAGTTTTAATTCCTTAAAAATTTACTAAAGCAGCTAGCGTATATAAGTATGGACACACAATGCACGATTGATTTGTCTAGCGTTGACGCTGATCGTATCACCAATTACTACGGGGAGAACCTTTTCAACAATGAAACATATGAAAAATTATTTGTGCAACAAAACGAGCGATGAATTTCTCGCCGATTGCTCAAGTATTTTATTTAAAACAGTGTATACTATTGGTATGGAGGTAGACTTCATTATTGATGTATTCGCTAAATTAAAATACCGTAGTGTACAATTTATATTGTAAAAAAAACTATAATATTTTTTTACGGTTCTAATTTTCTAATGAAATGCGGCCCAGTGCTCTTCTGTGTTCTGGATCCGCCGCTGATTAGTATAAAGATATCCACCTCATTTCCTAGAGAGGCCGTTTCACTCACTATATTGGTATGCGATTGTATTAAGAAAGAGGAAAGGAATGAAAATAAACCATCCAATCCAAGTCATCTTTCAAAGCATGTGGACATTTTATCCTGGCCAGGTAACATTCACCAGCTCCGACGGCCCATAAATAAAGTCATCATCAATCTTTGTCCTTTACACTATACCATAATCATTTAAGCTTTACCTCTTCCAACTCAAGACCCATACTTCGTCCTTTTCCTTTTGGCTTTACAAACAAACTTCAACCAGAACGATCTAGGCAATATGATATTCGAAATAGGATCGAAAAGCGACACAAGTATCCGTAGACTCACTGAGCCTACAAACTTTAATGAAGCCAAACCAGCCGGCCGGCCGGCCTTATTGTTGGTGTAATAATGTCCAAACGATCTCAACTACTTTTTGAGGTGATATGATCATTTCAGTTGATTATAAAACGAAACCCCTGAAAGCAGCATCTTAACTACTTTTGAGGTGAACATTTCATCCACGATTCCACCAGTCAACTTTCAGATACAAATTCATAATATCATACACACAAAATGTATTGCTTCAAGTTCAATCCATTGACACAAAGTATCCCCCATTCCACTACAACGCAACCCTTTGTGACAGCTACAAACAAACAAACAGGTAGCTGCAGCAGCAGTAGCAACAAAGTTGACCTGCACAAACTTCTGGCATTGCCAGAAAGCACCACTAGAATCTTAACATAAGAATCTAACCCAAACAATGAGTCAGCTTCAGACAGTCACTCCTCCGAATTGAAAGTCAACACTGGGGGTGAAACAATGATTTCTAAGTGCTTGGTCTTTCGTCTGAGAATCTCGGGAGCTGGACAAGTGAGTTCACTCGCGTCACGCCTTCCAACCCTGACCAACCTTCATCCTCGGCGGCACCTATCGTCGTCCCATCACCCCCTGCTGGTCTTCCGTACGCCTCGTTTTCCTCCGAGGACCTCACTGTGAAGTTCCGTTGAAGGCATGGCTCGGACTTCTGCTGCCCCCCATCATCTGATTCAGCTGCATTACCAGAGTGATTGCTTTGTAGGGTTGCAGATGAAAACCCTTGTTCCTCACAGTCCGATTCCGAATCCATTTTCCCATCGAGAAACAAACACACCACTGCACAGTCGTCCATCTTGGAAGTCGGGTATTTGAGCTTCCATTCCCGAGCAGCTGAGTCCACCACTAATCTCGCAGCTGACGACCGAGCTGGAGCTGAGGACACAATGTCCACCACCTCTTCGTTGCTCAAAACATCCCACACCTGTTTAATAATGCCGACTTAGAAACTCTCCATAAACAGAAACAACCTTTTCAGTACCGGTTATGCATTTTACAGTCTGCAGAATAGTAAGGGGTCATTTGGCTGATGAATTCAGTGATGGATCCCTATCTTCTTAGAAGTAATGGCATTTCAAACCCTTTTTCATTTGTTTATGGGACCCACACATGATCCACATGCCACAACCCATCCCACTACTCCATGAACCAAACAATGGATTTCAAAATATAGCAGACATACTCTGCAATTCCCAAAAGTCAACTCTGAGGGGATCAACCGTAAGTAGATGGAAATTTTGCAGAGAAGAAAGATCCAGGTTAACTGTGTCATTGAGGTGAAAATCTATTTGACATGTGAAAGTAAAGTGATGAAAGCATGAAAGGCCAGAGGTGAGAATAATATACCCCATCGGAAGCAAGAACAATGAACTGATCTCTCTCAGTCAGCAGACGGTGAGAGAATTCTGGTATGGATATTACTCCATACTCCTTCAAACAAAAATCTCCGAATGCACGGGCCATTGCTAGGCCAGGGGCATCATCAAATGGTAACCAAACTCTTGAAACTTCAGGCTCATCTTGTAAAGCAAAGACCCTACCTTTACACCGCTTAATCCGCTCAGCCTCTCCTGTTTTCATAGATTTGAAATCAAATTCTTGGTTTTGTTCGCATGAACAAGTCAGAGAAAAGCAAAAAAACAGAGGAATTGTAAGAATATGTCAGCTACTTGGCAAATCAGGCTTTAGGTCAACAGTTAACTGGATAGCCACCATGGAGTCGTTGCTGTCTTTGGAACCCATGATCGCACGAGAATCCCCAATATACCCCATAAACAGATTAGAGCCCTGGAAATTAGATCCCACACGGAAACAAACTATGAGAGAACAGCTAAATCAATCAAAAATATGGAGAGAAACAGCTGTGGTTCTTAAAAGTACCTGTTTCACTATGGTTACTGCAGTACTCCCACTACAAAAACAGTCCAAGTTGGGATGGGATTTGAGCTCTTTATCCATGGCTTTATAAGACTTCATAAATGCTTCTCTCCACAAAGAATCCAATTTTTCCTCGGTTGATCCATCTTTATCCAGGTCTCCTCCATCTTCTAACCTCTTAGAATTTCCATTACAGCATATTTGACCAGACCCATCTTGCTTGGGCTGATTAGTGTCCAAGAAAGACATCAATTTTCCAGGCAAGGTATCCCTCACTTTCCTGGCAACAAGATGGCCGTGTGGTCCATGGCCATCAAAAACTCCACAAAAAGTCACATCTTCTGGCAAGAAATCCTACAGCAATAGAAACCCAGCAATTATTTTTTTTATAAAAAGAAGGAAATAGAAAGTCTTTAACATCCAAAAGTAAGGAATGAAACGCACCTCCCACACAATCATGGCATCCTGATTTATGCCCTTGCGGCCTTGCTGTGTGAAGATACATGAACTTCTGCTCTTTCCATTGGCAAAGATCCTGTTAGGTATGGAGGCCAAATGCTGCAGTGTCATTGTATGATCAGAAACTGTCTTCTTGGTTCTCTTCTGCCCACAAAACCTGATCCCCAGGCGAGGTGATGGGCCTTTTTCTCCATTGTTCCTGCTGCTACAAGTACTCCTAGTGCTGGTTGAACAACAAGCTCCCATTTTCCTCAGAATGAACAACAAGGCATCTCTAGCTGCAAGTAAAAGGGGGTCTTTTCTGTTTGCCAGAGCAGATCTCACATGGAGCTTCCCAAACAGCTGCGAATGGTCAACCAATCCAGAGCCTCCAAAGATCTCCACTCATAAAAACCACAACCCTCCTTTATTAAGACCTCCAATATTGGGAAAACCACGGTCCCATTTTTATCCTCTAGTCAAAAGCAATCCGCCACAGTTGCCCCGATCGATAGGCCAAATTAGCTGAGAGCAACAAACAAAGAAAGAGACATTAATTTAAATGAGTTATTTATTGCACAATTTGGCAGAACTTCAACTTACCTCAAACCTCTACAAGAAAGAAAAAAAAAAAGGATCAGACAACTACTATAAATCCATTTTCTTTCTTTTCTTATTATCTTATTCATGTTATCATGTGACCTTTGGAATATAATACAATTGAAAGGCTGTCCTGGTGTCTCTTTGTCTTCCTAGAGCATCCATCCATGTTGACACATCATTTGAAGGATATCACTATGTAAGGCAACCCAATCTACTAAGAGAAGAAACAATTTTCAAGCAAATAGAGACAGGAAACGGAGGAAAAATCGGAACAAAAGAAGGATCAAACCGAGAACATACCCCGGAAAACAAGAGGGGAAAACCTCAAAATTTAAGTGTCCTGTTTCTAACAACAGATGGAAGCTTTTGTCCTAGACTTTGCAACAGCTTGCAAAAGTTGCAAGCCCAACCCAGCTTACAGAAGAACTCAAAAACCCTCAAAACATACGGAGCTGGACCATTTATTATTCTTCGCCCCCAGACACATGGACAAGCAAATACACAGATACAGACAAGAGAAACTCCTCTTAAAGTTGGTGTGAAACCGCCTTAATGTGTTAATGGGAACAAAACAGTAGATGACAATTAAATGCAGCGCTCCATTCCCAAATTGGGTACCTCTCACTTCAGCACAGCGAAGATTGAAACGGAAGTTCCACCCGTTCAATTACATCAGCATTCCAACCAGACCCCATTGTTTATATTCAAGCCCCAACCATCAACTAAGGATCTACGATGATTGGTTGCTGAGAAATCCGAGGGCAACGACAGCCCAACTTGTGGAAGGAGTTTTGAAATGGGAAAGGGAGAACTCTCCTTCACTTTGAAAAGAAGATAAGGGGAAAAGAGATGGAGGGCTAGGAAGAATTTTGACAGACTTCGAATTCCCACTCGGAGAGAAAATCGAGAAGGGATAAAGCAGAAAACTTAAGAAGGCAGAAAGGGACGAAAAAGAAAAGGGTGCGAAATTTGTCAAAAGTGAATCAAAGATTGCCTAAAGCAAGAGAGCAACAGGATATGAAGTAACTAATCAATAATTAATCATTGAAGAGGAAAAACTCAAAGCAATTTTCCTTCCTGCTTACTCACCCTGTTTGGCAAGCTAGAAAATCCAGCACAACACTAGCTTGGTGAAGAGGAAAGATTCAGTCAACGACATAATGACAGCACCAACAAGAGTCAACCAGTAATCCATGCCAGTAAACAGTGCAGAGTAAAGAAGTTACCATTTTCAGAAATGGAAACCATCCAACTACAGGACCGAATTCAACGTTTTATCTTTTCCAGATACCGATCAGGAAAACGCGCCGGAAAACTAGGAACAAATACAAGTTCGGTGGATCTGTGGATCGCAATTCATCCAACCCAGAAAAAACAACAGAGAACAGCCCATGGCATTTGGCAAAATCTGATGACTGGAAACTTTCCCTTCTCACAGGCAAAAACACAAACAGGTTGGCAGCATTCATCCCAAGGAGCCAAAGCGCCCAACCCACGAACTCAAATCAAACCCCGAAAACGACATATTACTTACAACACAGAAGAAGGCAGTATGAAGCGAATCATTTCACAGGGGAGGAGATTCGAGGAAATTCAGAAGATAGAAAGAGAAAAACAGAAGGTTTACCTTTTCCCCCTTTTCTTCTTCCCTTTGTTGATCAGCTCGGCGTTGGGTTCGCACTTTCTATCTAGGCTGTGAATGGCAAAATCGCAACTTGGGCCAGAGAGAGAAAGAGGGCGTTGGGCGTTAGCACTAGATATACAGGTAAGTGAGACTGCTGTGAGATAGAAAGGTGGGGCCTTGCATTTATTGCTGGCAAAAACCAAACCAGGAGGCAAGAAGTAGCAACTCTCCTTTTGTTCTTTTTTCTCTAACTAGCGGCTTCAGAGCGTGGAGGAGAGAGATAGGGGTAATTAGCATAAATGGTAACAAACTTTTGCACTTAGTACAAAACGGTCACAAACCTTTAATTTGTAACAATACGGTAACAAAACTTTGAAATTGTATTAAATGGTCACCGCTATTTAATTTGTGACCGTTTTGTGTTAAGTGCAAAGGTTTGTTACCGAATCGTTACAAATTAAATGTTTGTCATGTTTTGAGGTCGCGTAGTTTGTTCGTTAAGTATATGACACTAACCACTTGAACGACATATATGATGTCAGGTCATGTGTTCATCGATATATTTGCTTTGCCGAATAAGAATGCCCTCAGTTGACCTTTCAATTTCGATACCAAGAAAGTAAGAAAGTAGACAGAGTTTTTTCAACTAAAAAGCAGTTCGAAACCTGTTTGTGAGCCATTGAATTCTCTCATTGTCATCCTTTATGACGATCATATCATTCACATACATTAACAAAACTACCATACAACTAGAACGAATTGTAACGGTGATTGAGCGTTCAAACTTTTGAACTTAATTTGTACAAAACGGTCACCAAAAGTCTAATTTGCAACGACACGGTAACAAAAGTTTGAACTAGTATGAAATGGTCACACTGTTTAATTTGTGACCGTTTTGTTCTAAGTACAAAGTTTTGTTATCAAATGGTTACAAATTAAAGGTTTGTGACTGTTTTGTACTAAGTGCAAAGATTTATGACCATTTATGCTAAATACCCGAGAGATAGAGATTGCAATGGCCGGCACGGCTGACAGATATGGTTGCTGTCGCTGGTTGGGCTGACCCGACCCACGAATATGAATACGGCCCGAGTGTTCCCCTTTTCAATTTTCATTCTATTCTCCTTCACCATAGCGTTCGTTATCTATAGGCTTGGAACCCATCCGAAACTTGCACAATGGAAACCCATCCGAAACTTAATGGTGACCAAATTACCCGTCTGACGTCGGTATTTGGTGGATTGGAGTATATGCCCAAAACCCATGAATAGCGGGTGATGTGTGGCAACGGAGGTCGTGGTATCCGCCACATCCCCGCCCGGTATCGTAAAATGAAGTCACTTTCGAAGTCAAATGAAGGACAGGGAAACCCTAATCCTCATTTCTTCTTGGCTTCCCATCTGACTGCTCCCATCCCCTTCGAGACCCTCACCAAACCCTATATCCCTAGCCAATTTTCTCTCCATCGAATCCCCCAAACATTCATTCCGCTCCAAAACCTCGTTGATTCCCCACGAATTCCTCCCAATCCATGCTATTTATATATCTACGATTGCTAGTAGGTAATCATTATCTCCCAATTTGACCAATTGGGGGCTACTTTTGTCGGCAATTTCATCGGGGAACAGCATGCAGAATCTTAAATTGCCTGATGCAATCTTTGATTTGCCGTTATTTGGGGAAATTGGCGCGATATCACACACCGAGATAAGTTCTTTCTCCCTTTTCCTTTCGTATTCAGTTGCACCTATTGGCTTCTTCCTTCTTCTCATATATATTGTAACCTCCTGCTTAATTTCTAGGTCACTAGTCAGTCTAAGTTCTCCCCTAAACTCATTACCTCCACTCTGCTCAGAGCACAATCGCGATAATTACTAATGAACCTTCCTTATCCAGGTTCATTAGCTAGGTCTTTATCAATTGATGAATGCAAATGTTATTTTGTTTGTTTTGACTTTGTTGGGAGTTCTTCAGGTGCATTAGGCATCAGCTCACCATCTGTAGTATGGTGAACAGAGCCTCCCTCTCCAGATTACAGGTTAGGCATAGCCTTACTCCAATTCAACTCTCGATAGCATGTGTGATTTGTCTGAGTTGTTATGGTTGATTGATTACATGCAATTGTTTTATTGTTTATGTAGATGAATGATGCTACTGAAAATTGTGATTTGAATGTGAATGATTCTACTATGCCTTGTAATCAATACGGTAATGGTAATGCTACTGCTAATGGTTCTGGTAATGATGTCTTGACAAATGGAAATGAAAATGCTGAAGTAATTCTTGAGGAAGATCGCAAATTGACTTCTGATGTCTGGCCATATTTTGCAAGGGTGAAGTTTAATGGGGAAATTAAAGCTAAGTGTAGGAACTGTCGAAAACGATTAGGTCGTGATACTAGTAATGGAACCTCTCACTTGAGGAACCATTATAAAACTTGCACCCAAAGAAAGATACATGATGGTATATAGAGAGTTCTTGGTCCTGATTATAAACCAACTAGAAAACCCCTCCTATATGCTACTCAATTCAATTCTGATGTGTCTAGGAAGTAGTAGTAAACTATGATTATGGTGCATGGCAAAATGAGTATCCCCTGAACATTGTTGAACACTTGGGTTTAAACGTTTTTGTTGTTCTTTGCAACCCCAGTTCAATGTGCCTTGTAGAAATACAGTGAAGAGGGATAAAATGGGGTTATATGCGGCTGAAATGGTAAAGTTTCAGAAGGTTCTAGATGTTAATATTGGTAGAGTTGCAATGACCATTGATATGTGCACTACAACCAACCAAAAGAGGGGGTTTATGGTAGTGACTGGCCATTTTATTGACAATTCTTGGAAGTTTAAAAGCATGAATGTATGTTGGTTCAAATGAGATGTTCTGCTAAAATCTAAATCTTATTGTGAAAGATGGGTTGGAGGTCATCAAGGATGACATTGATTTGGTTAAAGAGAGTGTTGTGTACTTTAAGTCCACTCCTAGGAAGGTACATACCTTCTTTCAAACCGCTAAGAAGTTTAAAGTGCCTTATGAGAAACAACTTGTGCTTGATTGTCCAACAAGGTGGAATTCCTCCTATGATATGCTATATGTTGCAGTGGTATAGTCAATACAACAATGTCACTACTAGTATGCACTGAGATTTTGCTGCCATTGTCATTGAGAAACTGGAAATTTTCAGTGAGATTACTAAGCTATTTTCTGGTAGCAAGTACGGCTACAAATGAGCCGAGTCGAGCCGAGTTTTGACCCAGCTTGAGCTCAGCTCGTTAATAAATGAGTCGAGCTTGACTTCAGCTTGTTTACTAAAATCTTAGATTGTGTTTGACTCAAGCTTGACTAGAGTTTGGCTTCTTAATGAGCTCACGAGCTCTACTCGAGTTTGGCTCATCAATCAGCTCGCGAGATAGGCTCTAGCTCGGGTATCATATCATTTAGTTCATAAATTATAATTTTTCATATGATGTTATTTGATAATAATTTGTATTTAAACAATCTATGATAATATTTGGTCATATTTGGTCATGCCTTCATAGTATTAAACATTATATATGCTAATATTTGTAATCTAACAAATGTATGAATTATCAACAAGCCAACCAATAAGTTATTAATCGATCCACCCTTAAGTTGCTAATAAAGGAGGTTTGCTAACCATACTATCGAGTTAGTTTATAGCTCAAAATGAGCTTACTCATGAGTTGAGATCAACAAGCCACCGAGTCGAGTTGGCTCACGATCCTTACAAGCTTAACATGGAGCAGTTTGAGCTCGGCTCATTACTGAATGAGCAGAGGCTCGAACGAGCTTTTTTCGAATTGAACGTCAAGCCACTCGTGAGCAGCTTGGCTCATTTGCAGTCCTAGTAGCAAATATCCCACTAGCAATATGTTTTTCCCCAAGGTTTGTGATATGAGATT